TTCTCATTTCGACGGGTGGGGCGCTGTTAGCACCTGCACAGATTACCTCCTCTGAGCTGGGCGTGGTGGGACAGGGGCCGGGAGCAGCAATAAGGATGGTGGCTCAAAAGCCCTTTCCTGTTGGCTGGGAGCAGCGGGAGGGATGGTGGCTGGGAAGCCCCTTCGTCTGGACCAGGAGCAGTGGGATGGCAGCTCAGAAGCCTCTACCTCTGGGCTGGGACCAGTGGGGCTCAGTACCTTGGTCTGGTGGTCTGGTGTCCTTTGTGTCTTTGTAGTGTGGAACCAGGTGGCTGCCTGTCTGCAGTATGGTGATTCGTTGTCTTCCGCGGGACTTGGACCTCGGTAGGGCGTGGGCAGACCTGCCTGTCTGCAGAGGAGTGATTCGGCGTCTTCCTCGGGTCTGAAAGTGTCCAAATTTTAAGGATCAGTTTGGTAGAAAGTCTCAAAGTAACAAGGAAGAACTAAAAGCAATAGATAAATAAATGAAAACAGCTAGTTATCTTTGAGATATATTAGACCTTTTTTTCTCTTTTCAAGGCTGAATTTAACAGAATTTACTATCATAAATTTGTGGTATAGTGTGATATTGATTTTTAAAAATTGCTTAGTCTTTTATAAACTTGTTTAACTTTTGGTCACTGTTTTACCTTATGGCTGAAAAGCATGTAGATAGTGACTGTTTAAATGCTACCATGGTATTTCTGTGAAGCATAGCTTTCCTTTAAGGTGATTTTGCTAAGAATTAACACTAGATAAATAACAGGATTTAAAGTTTTTTCTCTAAAAGTGAAATTTAGACAAATGTCGATTCAAAATACTATTTCTTAAGATCTTCTCTAGTAACATATTTGCATTAAATGTTTGCTAATTTTACCCTTTTCTATTTCAACTCAAAGCCATAATCCTGTTGAGAAAAAACAAAGACAAAGCTGTCAAAATGTTAGTACACATATTTCTTTACACCTATTAAAGAAAAATGGGTTCAAGACAATCATTTGAACCAGTAGCTAATTCATATTCAAGGATATAATCAATGTATCACAAATAAAAGACCAGAATGATTATCACTAAAGACCATACATCATGGTACATTTTTATGGACTCTACATTCTAATTTCTAAAAGCCATTTCTCAAAAAGGTATGATATTGCAATTTAAAACATGAGAACAAGGGACCAGGGATTTAGCTCAGTGGTTCCAGCACCTGCCTTGCAAGCACAAGGTCCTGAGTTGGATCCCTGGTACCAAAAAAATTAATAAATAAACAAAACAAAAGAACAAGTTATTTGTTCTTTCTGAAAATAATGTACCAACATTCTTAAATAATCATAATTTATTCATGAATTGATCATGGATGAAAACAGATATAATTACATTAGTAAAATATGTGGGAAGAGAATGCTGCCACTTGGAATCCCTACTGAAATCCCTGAGTTCTAGTGCTGCTCCTGCAGCTAAGTAGTTCCATGGCTTTGAAAAACATGTTGCATTTAACCTAATTTTAAAACAAATACTGATGTTACTTCATAGTTAAGGGTAGGTAATTTTAATCTTCTGTGAGTTCAATCAGATTTCACAGTGACAGCCAATCCTGCATGTGTTATATGGGACCTCTTCAACAGAATGCATAGCATTAGGACTGACAGGTTTTCCACAGAGGGACTTATGAATTGTCCTTAGGTGTAGTAAAATTCCTTTCTCTATTCCTTTTTGGCTGTAGTACTCAGGTTTAGTGCTTTTCAGTTGACCCCAAATGGGATCCTGCACTGTTGGCAGTAGTGCTTTGATGAGTCCATGAGATAATGCTAAACAAGTGTTCTAAGTATGGACGATTTTAGAGTCTTTGCTACATCTCACCCTACATATAGCATTAGTGCCTCTCAGTCCCCTCCACATTGTTTGGCAAGTCCAGGAGAATTTATTTTAGTCCATAGCTTGTGTTTCTAGATCCACCATTGCAGTTTCTTTAGTGAATAACTGAAGGACTGTGTGGTGAGGAAATCATTTTCCCCGGGAACCTTTATCACCCAGAAGGGTCCTGTGCTTTACTATGAGTTAAAGGAAGTGAGGGAAGATTAGCAAATGTATTTATTTTGGTGAATGAATAGAAAAATGTGTTTAAATGAAAGAACAAGTAGTGCTTTTTCTGAAAGTTCTAAAATGATGCATGAAGTCACTTTCATTCTGAAAACACAGTTGTGGAGAAACCAGGTGCATAGTCACTGTCTGTGTAAATCTGTCTCACATTAATTCAAGAGCAGTTTTGAGTAAGTACAGAAAATAAAGCCAATTATTCTCTCTGTATTTGACTAGCCTAACAATGAAATACCAATTAAAATTGATTAATTCTTCTTTTCCATAAGTATGAAGATAATACTGTTGCAGTTTTAATGACTGTCATGATGAGGCATATCAGTCACTGAAAAGAAGTCATCAGAAACATTTTAGTGTCATGACAAAATTCCAAAGGTATTTCAGTAACATACCTATTCCAGATTGTTTTTCTTTTGCTCTCAGTGTTGAATAAAAGTATATTAATTCTGAATAATTTTCTGATGCAATTAAGACCTAATGTCTTTTCTGAAGATTTCTCTAATCACTGTAGACCAGAGCAACCGTTTCCTGCCTACTCCCATCTTTGTGTTATATACATTAACACATTGTATTAGAAAAATAAAATATATTGTATACATTTGTTTCTTTGAAAGAACTGAGATTAGCAAAAATGTCTTGCCCATTGTTCTGTTTTTGTCTCACCTATGAACAGCAACAAATATGTTAATAGCACATGGTGTTTATTTTAAATAAAATGGTAGCAATCCACATCAGCAATTCTTACTGACACTGAAGCACACAAGATTAGTTTACTAATCACACTAACAGTGTGATTCATTCGGAATTTAAAAAGGAAAAGAAGAAAGAGAAAAACATTGGAAGCTAGTGTCTCTTCAACAACTTATGTTTCTTTATGCAGGAATCCTTTGATTCTAAAAAGATTTATTTAGGGCAAAATACAAATTTAAAGTTCTTTCTATTTTTATGAGAATATAGGAGATAGCCATGGTGCATATATTATTCATTAACAAAGTATTTATTGAAGGAATAGAAAGTAACTAACAGGTATTATGTTAGAGAGGAGTTCTGGATGGTGTTGGGGTACCAAGTGACAAGTTCAGTGAATACAAAAAAGAAATAGGAAGAAGAAAAGCTGCATTCAAAGTGTAATATTTTAAAGCACTTCTAGTTGTCAATATGGAGTAGGTGTGAAGTTCTTTGTAAATGACCAGGCCAAGAAGGGGTTCATGGGGGGCTTTAGGTCACTCGATATGACAGCAGCACAAATGGAAGAGGCACCTGAGAGTCAAGTCCCTGACACTTTGATCAGAGCCCATAAGTGATAGGCACATTGCATATATCTCAATAAGTGAATGAAAATTAATTATGAAAATTCTTTGAAGGAGACAAAGAAGCACTTTAGGAATGCATCATTAAGCCCTGCTATGGACCACAGGCTCATTCTGCTGGGACCTCTGGGAAGGCAGGTTTGGTGGCTGTGATGTGCCATACCAGATTTCTGTTATGTAGTCCTATGCCCTTCCTAACTAGATTGGCACCGTTTCAAAAGCTCCTTTCTCAAGGAAACTCTGGAGCTGCCAAAACAGGGCACAGCCAAGAGTGCACAGTCAAGGAGGAAAAAGGCAGTCTCATCTCTACTTGTGATTTGCAGTGCTAATAAAATGCTATAATACTTCCATTCTCCATTACTGGCCATGTTATTCTGAATATGACCTGTAGCTTCCTGTTTAACTAAATTGTTAAGCATTATTACCAATCTAGTGATGTTTACTGAGCTTTCACTGTTAAGTGAGTATGCTGCTCAGTGTCCCAGGATAAGGAACATGGGTTCCTTGCCTGATTAGCTGTGAGAAGAAATGCTTGCTGTAGTATGGAAACCAAAGTAGATCACCAGTAATTATTTTGAATGATCACACACGCGCGCGCGCGCACACACACACACAATTATTGATGAAACAGATCTGGATATTATTTAACATACTCAGATTTGTATATAAAGAGAATGTTAGTATTTTAATGTAGAAACTAAGTTTAAAAGGATTTAGATGAAAAGCAAGTTTTCAGAGAATGGCTATAAACCCAGCAACCATAAATGTGCCACTCACGGAAAGTGTTGCAGGCCAGCTAACAGCATTGAAGACACAGCCTGGCACCTGGCATGTGCGGGGAGCCTGGGCTGGGTCCTCACTGCGTTCTTTTTCCTCTGGGCAAAAGCACACACCATCCTTTTGCTAATGACTTTCTTGGAGATTTCAATTTTAACTTTAAGCTGTGGTTTATGGCTTTATATGTAGGTATTAGTTTCATTGGGGGTATATTTTCTTTTTTGTACGTTTTTGTGTGTGTTAATTTAATCATACAAATATTCATTTACACAGTAAGGAAAACTTCATCTTCATCTCCTCCTAGACACCATGAGGCTCCACCACAAGCACCCACCAGCTAGCTTGCCACACATACCGCTGTCCAGGTGGAAGGGGCAGCACTGCCATGCCCGCACGCAACAACGGGACGAAGGGAAGGAAGGAAGGTGACACTTGGCAGGTGGGGTGGGATCAGCTGTGCCTGAGCCCTAGAAACCCTGCCTGGCTCTCCTGCTGGGGCTCAGACTGAATTTGGGGAGGGGTTCATTCTCTCACCCACTTCCCACCTGGGCAGCCTTCAGGCCACCAGCCTGCTCAGTGAGTTCTCTCTGGGCAAGACGTGCCTTTGACAGGTGTAGGCTACAGCCAGTCCTTGCTAGGAGAGAGAAACTGTTTCTTACAGGAAAATGCCCCAAATTCAACCATCCCACAGCAAAAAGAAAACTGGCATGCACACATGCACATACATCCACACACATCCACACACACACAACCCACACTCCATGCACACAGACAGGATCTTCCCTGGACTGCATTCCTCCATCTCCCAACTTGATATAGGCCCTGTCACCCAAGGACGGTGCCTGCCTCACCTCCAGGGTGCCAGATGCTGGGGGTTCTGCCCAGAGGCGACCTGCTGCACGTGAGCATTCTGGGGAGCAGGGACTACTGGGGCTCAGAGGTGGCCTCTACCAGTCCACTAGACAGAGGAGGAAGGGGCGCCAGGCACTACTCAGACCTTACAAGGGAGAAAGAATTAACGGTGCCAACTCCCTCCTCCAGCCCCGGCGAAGCCATTGGTCAAAGCTTGCGCCTGCTCTGGCCCCCTGCAGCAACACCTCTCCACGGATGTGCAGAGATATCTCCGGGAAGGAAACACAGTACCTGGTACCTGGGATGCTGGGTGAGGCTGCCTACAAGTAAGAGGAACAGGAAGACTCTGGCAGGTCCAGCCTGAAGGTCTGGCAGCAAGGGCCATTGAAGCCCTTGCTGGGAACCCAGGTTAGGGCTCCAGTGTGGGGCAGACAGGGAAGACAGGAAAGTGGGGTGGGAAGCTGCCCAGGATTCTGCCAGGGGCAGCTGGAGATGCACTGCTTCAAGGCTAGCAAGCAGAAGAGAGGCCACATGTGCATTCCAAGTGGCAGTGTCCTAGGGGATTGGCAACAGCAGCAGCAGCAAAATGGGCCTAAAGGGACTTTGAAACAAAAAGCCACCCTGAGACCCATGGTGCAGCACCCAGAAAGCTCCCCTTGGCTCTGCTAGGAATGGGGTACTGTGTGCATGGAAAATAGGTGCTCCAGGGAAGCCCCAGTCCAGCCCCAGCCGCAGGCCCTACTCCGTAGCAATTTCCATTCTTGTCCAAGGCTTCTGGAGCGAACTAAGTTTATTCCCCTTTTGTTTTTTGGGAGTGGAGAAGTGAAGGGGGAATTCATACAAGGTTCTCACCTACAATCAAACATTTCAAAACAGTCTCAGAGGAGATGAGGAGGAACACACCACACATCTTTTGGAACTCAGACACCAAAACAGACAGGCAGCCCCTCACCCACACCCAGGCTACAGGACCCGTGCAGCCCCTCATCCCCTGGTCACCCTGCTTTTCTCACCCACCCACCCCCAGTGCAGATTGGGGTGTGGTCACAGGCAGGGGCCCCTGGACCACACCTCATTGGGGGTATATTTTCTTGAAAGTGCTTAGATGAGTTCAAAGAATGCAAATAAGGAAAAAATGAGAATTTAAAAGAAATTTCTGAAGAAAGTCCTCTGTTTGCACACCCTTGGTGATTATAGAGCTGTAGTATGTACTGTGGAGTAGACTAGCAATTTGGTGGTGCTTGGAATGTCATAGCAATAATTTCATATGATTTTTCTCTAACCGTTCAAGAAAAACACTTTGGTTCAGATAGTGCATGTTTATTCTGAGAGCATAACGCTTTCAGAAGGAATTCCTATTTTATACAATATTAAATTAACATTTGAGTGTTTCCATGAACCTTTATTTCAAGTGGCAGATTGATTTTAAACTCTTATTGATGAACACATCTAATATTAAAGTATACAAGCAGTGGCAGAATTTGGTAAAAAGAAGTAATTTTATTTCCACTTTCATCTTAGATATATACAAAATGGTTAAGCATGTGCATGGATAACTATATTATATATTCTATTTCAGTTAGTCTCCAAAGGACTAGTAAACTGAATCACCTATGGAAATTGCAAACAAGGATTTGAAAGGGAAAAACAATGACAGTTGTTAAAAAGATAGGTGTTATTATAACTGTGTAGTATCTGATTAGTCCTTTAATGGCTTAGAAATATACTCCAATTCAAATGCAGCTAGCTTATTTATTTGCAAATGGGCCTAGGAAATCATTTTAAAAATGATTGAACAGTAAAGCCCTATACCTAAGTGGGCTAGATAAGGGATTCAAATATTAGTAAAGTTTCATTTCAATTTTAACTAACTTCTATCCTTAACATGACTATTATACTGCTTTATCTCTCTTTTAGAAATAAATATGCCTTTTGAACATAATAGCCTTGTTCTGTAGATTAAAATTTCTTTTTATCAGGAAGTTAAGCATCACCCACTCTATATCAGAAATCTCACAGATTCTTGGGGCATGGCAAGTGTTAAAAATAAAGGAACACTCAAGCAAAAGCAGCAAACCTGGGAAAAACTATGGCATCCTAAGGACAGCATTCTTGCCTAAAATATTCATACTTAAAAACAAAAAGAAAGCTTTCAAGCTAGCAACCTTTTCATAATAAACTAGTACAAATAGATTCACTTTAGAAACAAGTTCAGTTTACTTTATGATATATGTGTCTTAGTTTTTAACTCAAACTAGCAAGTATATTTGTTAGTGCTTCTTGTTTGCAATATTGTATGTAGATATTTGAGATTCACAAGTCAGAACCACTCACTGTGGTCAAGAAATCAAAAAGTTCTTTGCTATTTGCATTCATAATTGGTGTTACTAGTTATTTTGAAGATTCGTGTGAGTTACTTGATTTAATCTTTTGTGTTTATTTGTAGCAGAAAAGTAAATGTTACTCATAAGTCAACTAATTCATTCATAGTGTTATCTATAAACCGTATGTATTGCCTTGACAATTTTATATGATTTGATTCCTTTTCAGTCATGTAAAACATAAGTAAATGAAAAACTTTAACAAAATGACAATAAAGTATTTTCTAAATATCCATGCTTGACCTATGGGACAAGAAGAGAAGTGAATTCTTCTGTGTGCTGGAGATTATTTCTATGGTCTGAATGTTTGTGTCCCCCTAATCTGATTCTATATCATAAGTGATATAAAAAGTAAGGCCTTTGGAGAGGTGACTAATTCATGAGGGTGGGGCCCTCAAGAATGGGATTAGTGCTGTCATAAAAAGTTTTGGGGGAGCTTGTTTGCCCTTTCTACCATGTGAGGTCTTGGCTCTTTGGTACCCCTGTAAGTACTGCTCCCTAATTATACAGTAAATCTTCTGATGCCTTGATCTTGGGCTTCCGAGCCTCCAAAACTATGAGAAGTAAGTTTCTATTGTTTATAACCTACTCAGTTAATGGTATTTTGTTACAGAAGCCTGAACAGACTTAACACACCAATTAGACAAGTTTTCAGTGGACTTGCAATCTTCCCTAGCAGTGAATTATGTATTGACAGCATAGAACCAATAGACTTCAAATAATTGTTGCCCGCAGTGTAAGAGATTAGGCTATCATGGGGAATTCCAGATGGAGAGTATTCAGGAAGCTTTTTTGTCCTCCAGGTAGGAATGTGTATCTTGTTCACCTCCAGGTCTTCAATACCTCATGGGGAATGGACAATAAATATAGGGAAATTTTTGCCCTATATTGTAAGCTTTGAAGTACTTGGCTTATATTTGTTTTATAATTAGCATAATGTATACATAGTTCTTAGTTCTTCCTGTATACAAGCTAAAAAAAAACTTTAAAGAGTTAATAGAATATGGAGATAGCAAATGGGAAAGAATTACATATATAAGGCAAAACATAAACAAAAATGAGAAACACCAGATATGTTTTTTCTTAGCATTAGCTGATCTGCAGCCTTAGGAATAAACTTCTCATATTCTGATATCTCAAAATCCATTGGATTCACTTATATTTTGAATGGATCTATAGCCATAAATTGGCGTTGGCTCTCTAACTTATGTGAACTTTCCAAATGCTTGACATATTTCATTACATAATATAAAAATTATTTTTCTTAATATTGCCATTGATCTCATCAGAAAGGTCTCTGTATATTATGAAATAATCAAGTGCACTCTGATGGTTACTAGTTTTTCAAACCTCTAATTTTTGCTTCAAAGCTTGAAGTTATCAGAAAAAAATGTGGTAATTGGTTTTCTTTAAAGTGACAGTCTTATTTCATTCATAACTCTCTGTTATTCTTTCTAGAAAAAGTGGTATTTCATGCAAAACAAAGTTAGTTTGCCTTGCAGCCCAATCACCCAAGTTGTTTTTCTGGTGAAAAACATCACATGTAAGCATTTGACATGAGTGCTTTATATGTGCTTCCTATTGCATTACATAGATTATTAAAAATGATGCATATTGAAGAATTATATTTAATCAAATTAATAATTTTTACTGGTCCAAAAAGTGCATTCTTTAAACCACTATATTTATTCCTTGTTTATTTTTATCTGTACTGCTTGCTATTTGATGAAGGAAACAGCTAACTTATGTACTTTGGTACCCTTGCTTTGACTTGGTGCTAAGGTACCCATAGTTTTACCCACCATTGCTTATGCATAATTAGTGAAAATGTTTACCCAGTGAAAGGTAAATAATTTCTAAGGTTTACTTTGACTGTTTTGACCTCACAGGTGCCCTAAAAGGGTCTTAGATACTCACCACATTGTGAATCATGCTTTGAGAATTTCCTATATGTCTGAGTTGCTGTAATAAAATGCCATAAACCAAGTGGCTTTTCAATAACAAACACTGTAATGTCAGCACCAAGCATGGCTGAGACAGAAGAATGGCAGCTTTGAATCCGGCCTGGGCAACATAGCGAGATCTTGTCTCAAAAAATAAAAGGTTAAAGGGGATATACCTCAGTGGTAGAAGGCCACTGTGTTCAGTCTCTAGTACTGGAATGAGTGAATGAATGAATGATGAATAATGAATAGCATACATTTACTTCTCATTCTTCTGGAGACATGGAAAACAAAGATTAAGATGCTGATAGTTTTGTCTTGGTTCAGAAGTGACACCTTCTCATGGTGTATGTACACACATGATGGAGGAAGAACAAGCTTGGAATGTTTTATATGGACACTAATTCCATTCTTCGGGACCCATCCTCGTGAATTAGTTACCTGTCAAAAGTCCTTGCCTCCTAATGCTATTCTATTCATGTTTACATTTTAACTAATTGTGGGGGAAGTCAGGCATTCAGACACTAGCATTATGTATAGGAAAAGTGATCCATAAAGCCAAAAACGTGTTAATGCCAGAAAAATATTAGTTTTAAGACCTAGAACATTGTCCTTTAGACCACTAAAATTCATAGAATCATAAAACATCAAGGAGAAGTAAATGTACTCTAGACTGATCCCTAAATTTTACTAAAGAAAGGCCAAATCCCATAGACACGGTAACTTGTCCATGGTAGTTGATTTTTTTCTTTTTTCCAGTACCAGAGATCGAACTCAGGACCTTGCACTTGCAAGGCAGGCACAGTGACACTGAGCTAAATCCCTGGCCAGATTTTTAACAACAGCAAAAGCAAAAGTGCTGTTCTACCTCTGCACCTTAAGGGATTGTGGCTTTTGCAAAAGATTTTTGATATCTCTGACACTCAGTTCTCCTGTTACATCAAATGTGACAACATCTACACTATATAATTTAAAGAGCTATGAAAATCATATGAAACAACATGCA